ATTAAAGCTATTTCCAAGTAATGGGCCATACTTTGGAAATATATATTTTAGCGCATAATTAAAGCCATTTCTAGGAATCCTTTATTATTGAAATACATTTGGATATAGCCTTAATGAAATGAAAATTTTGGAAGAATATATCCCTATTATATACTCCCTCTATTTTGGAATGGAGGGAGTACTAATTAGGAAGAATATTAATTGCATGTTGATATTAGGTAGGATATTAGTTACGTGTTAATTACTTGGATAGTGTAGTATTTGATATGATATTAATTGCACGCTAAACATGTTGAGTGCTCACCTTTGGATTAATATAGGTCAATGAATTGATATGATTTCTTGACTGAGGATTTTCATGACTGAGGATTTGTTGTATCTATCCTTTGGGTCTTTTTATATTGGTGTGGATATACGAATGTTGCTAGGACACACCACACTCTTCCATTGTTGTTGTTGAGAAGAAAACATACTCTATGGTACTGTGAGGAGCGATAAAGAAGCACCTACAGTTGCATTGCGCTAAGTAGATGGAAAAGTGCATGAACTCCTTCCCTGCAGGGACCATAGTCTGTGTGCTTCTCCTCTACACTATGATGCACGCACAATGTAAGTGGCTATAAACACAGGACTTATGGATATACTTTATTATTTATTTTGAACTCTTTTTCTACAATAAGCACTAAGCAAATACTTCCACTGTTTTTATTTACTTAGCATATTAGTTTTGTCCCAACTCAAAGTTTGTAAAGTTTAACCAAGTTCAAACAAAATATACTAACAGTCAGAATACCAAATCAATACCATTAGAATCATCATTGAATATGTTTTCACATCATATATATTTGCTATCGTGAAAGTTTAGAGATTTCTAAAATCTTAGTCAAAAAAAATTAAAGTTTCACTTAGATCAAAGCTAATATGTGGAGTAAATAAAAACGGAGCCAGTAGTACATAGCTTGTGCCTACTCTTTCTAATATAAAGGCGCTTACAGATTCCCAAGTCTATTTTTGTCTATGATTGTGGTCTTTTCTTTAGAGCTCGTCAAACAATAGCTTTCTAAATATACTTACAATTTTCTTGTATTCCGTAGGCCAAATCATGGAAGGCCAAGAAAATGAGAAGATTAATTTACCACATGGATTATGCGTGAATAGAAAAAATATTCCAGAATGCAAAAAAGAGTCATATTGTTTCTGTTGTTTAGTGAGTGGCTTTTGCTATCTTACAATGGATGCTTGCACGGGTGAATGTGTAAAGCACGCTTCATCAGGCATGGTGGCTTCACAGAAACATGATCTATCGCCCGCCGATGTAATATACTGATGAGTATCACATTGTAGCTTTGTCTATGGCGGGAATCCCAGGTGTTCTTCATTGCATAGTGTTTTCCCTTTTGATCACCAGCATGAATAAAATATAGTTTTCACTTATTGTATGATGTATTGATGCAGTATCCCTAGTCTTTAATATAAGAGTTTTGGTACTTCCTTGTGATTTGACTTAATATTTACTAATAAGAAAATGAGGAAAATTAATTAATAACCTCATGACACATTGTTAAAAATATTGCACTTTTTTTAGTTGAAATATTCTTCTATACGGTTAATATGACCATGGAGGAAGATTATGTCAACCCGAAGGCGAAATCCATAACCGATCACCTCAGTTGATGGCTCATTTTCAGATGTACTCCCTTCGTTCGGAATTACTCGTCCAAAAAATGAATGTATCTAGATGTATTTTAGTTGTAGATACATCCATTTTTGTGACAAGTAATTTCGAACGGAGGGAGTAGATGGCTATGTGGCTGCAAGTATAGTTTTAAGGAGACCCGATGGATTAGTGGTGCTTGCAACCTATCGAGTCCTATTCAAGTACTCCCTCCGTTCGGAAATACTTGTCATCAAAATGAACAAAAGGGGATGTATCTAGACGTATTTTAGTTCTAGATACATCTTTTTTTATTTACTTTGATGACAAGTATTTTCGGACGAAGGGAGTACAACGATGCCCTGGAGGCAGAGATCCATGCACTCATGCAAGGCACGGCTTTTGCTATCCAGCACACGGACTTGTCGACCAGCGTCCAATCAGATTCCAACATACATTTGTAGCGGTGGGAAATAAAAATAGAAGCCAAGTTTGCGTGAAAAAGTAAATATAAGTATGCTACATAAGAACTGGTTTGCCAACACATATTTGTTGGATCAACACAGAACACCACCACCACGAGTACTAAGCGTCGGTCGACGGATAATAAGAAAAGATTCGCCGCCTTGCTGACCCTTGGATGGACACGCTTATGGTTGTTCGATGTACCCACGTGAACAGCCACCCCTTTGCAACAATAATGATGTTGCAGTGTTTTTTGAAACAGAGGTCTTGTCGCGGAAATTTTTCGCAACAAAGGCCTTGTTGCAAAATTTTTTGTAACACACCTCTTGTTGCAGAATTTTTTTGCAACCAAGACCTTGTTGCAGAAAAATGAGGATTTTTTTGCGAGGCTGAAACAAGGCCCTTTTGCAACAAGAAGCTTGTTGCAATTGCAACATGCCCTTTTTCTGCAAATAAACAAAACCGCCTTCCAACGCTTCGTCGCCTTCGTCCGCTCCATGGGCGTTGTTGTAGGAGCTTGAGATGGTGGCGGACATGGCCGGCCATGACCGAGGAGAACGTTGGCTGCGGCCTGTGTTGGCGGTCATCCAAAAAATGTGTTGCGGAAGTAGTTACGCAACAAGACATTTGTTGTAATGGTGGAGGCGCACTCTGGACCGCTCCATGCACCATATCCGATGGGTCACGACCGGGCTGATCTTTTAAAAAGATCGGCCGGCGTACGCGTAGCATGCCCCATTTCAAAGCCCATGATGTTTGAATAAGCGGACCATTCATTGACGGCTAATGTTGGCGCGGTAGACAAGCACAAGTACCTGAAGGCCTTTCAAAGGAGCTGGCTCTAATGATAGACCATTTGGAGCAGCCATATATAAATATAATCTCATGTATATCTTGGTCTTTGTTAGTCCGTACTTCTTGTTTTCTACTCCCTCCATTCCTAAATATAAGTTTTTCTAGAGGTTCCAACAAGTAACTACATACAAAGCAAACCAAGTGAATCTACACTTTAAAATATGTCTACATACATCCGTATGTTGTAGTCCATTTGAAATGTCTAAAAAAACTTATATTTAGGAACGGAGGGAGTAGTATGCAAGACTCAGGGTGTCTTCATAATAGCGGGCTATATAGAACTCTCTTGATAATCCCCTGAGCAACTCCGAGAGTTTCCCTAATAAAATTCCTGTAAAACCAGTTTTTTGGACTTTCTTGTAAAATTTAGTGAAAGTTGTCTCATGTAACTTTTTTGTCAGTTCCCATAAACTTCTTCCTCTAAATCTATTTTTATTTATTTTTTGTTAAACAAAACTAGCTAAATGGCTTAGGGCCCGTTAGTCAGTTATATGCTTGACGACCACTGGCGAGGGGCGGAGCGAGGCGGTGCGACGGCCAGCCCAAGCCACATCGACTTCCTTCCCTCTTCGCTCGCTGTCTGCGACATCCATGGCGTAACAAAGGGTGACTACGTACGTGATGCTGACGCCGGAGCGGCGCCTCCAGCTGCTCGAGGAGATCCGGGCTAGGCGCGAAGCCCGGATCACAGAAGGGCTGCCTCCGGACTCGCCAGAGCGGGAGGAGGAGGAGCAGGAGTGAGGAGGCCGGCGCGGGGCGGTGGTGGAGCAACAAGAGGAGGAGTAGTCCGACGCATCCATGGAAGACGCAATGGAGGACACTGACTTGGCCATGGAGCTGGACGTGGCGGAGGAGACCGACGCGGATCCGATGCCCCCTGCTCCGGGCTTCGGCATGCTCGAGGTGCTGGCAGAGTACGAGCTGGCACATGCGAGAGAGGTGGCGGAGAAGGCAACCATCATCACCTCTATCCAGTCTGCGGAAGGCGGAGATAGGTGAGCTTTTCAGTGATCTGGAGGTGGAGACGGAGCCCGACGTGGAGGCGCCCATGGAGGAGCCGCATGAGCCAGAGTTGCGGCTGCCGGCCATGTACTCGGAGCCCGGCACAGAGATCATGGACATTTCCGACAACGACGAGTAGAGTGGGAGCTGTAGTTTATGTACGTAGTACATAGGGTTTTTTTTGCATGCTTTATATGGTTTAAGGTTTGAATTATGAGGTATTCAGATACAGAGAAGGAAATTTGAGCACTGATCGGTCACTGCCTGCGAGCTGTTGCATGCGCCTGAAGGTTGAGGGCCCAGACTGTATGATCATAAATTCATAATATATCATAGGCGTATGGGTTTCAAATATGAAGGTTTAAACTGAACAAACTTGACGAGATAGCCAACCCCATGTATGACATTCCTATTACAACTGAATTTTGTGCCACGGTAGAAGATGCTAGCTAGGCTTTAGAGGATATCATCTTCTTTCTTTTTTGGCTCCATCCATTTGTTTTGCACCTTTTCATGAATGTGGTGTATAGAAAATGTAAAAAGGAAACTATTCATATGAATACATTTGTTCCGAATTAAGTATGTACCGCAACCCGCACCGATCCATTGTAATTCAAATTGTTTAAATTTAACGGAAGATTTTAACTGTCCAAGTTTTGTACCTAAGATGGACGGGCGAGGCAACACATGCCTTTCTGATCTAGCTACCAAAGGTGGTCGGACAAGATCTTAGCCATGATATTGTTTGATTGTGTGTCAAGTATCCTCTGATCTGTTGCTACATGCACAATTCATTTATCTTGGACCAAATGAATGAACTCTTTACGTTAAGAGGAAAAAACAGAAATCCCATTTTCACCGTGCGACTCCCATTTTAGATTTTTAGTGCACGGCGTACTCACGCTCCATCTGGACCGTCAACGTTCCATCGAGCGGCCGATAACACCGATACACCCCCAGCCCCCAGCGCAACAGCATCCCGCACGCGCACGGCCGCAGCCTTTCACTCCCAACCCTGTCCCCAATGGCGGCCACGGCCGCGGCGGCGACGCTGGCGGCGGCCACCTCCTCCCTCCTCCGGTAAGCTCTACCCGCGCCTCCTTCAGTCCAGTCGAGCAGATATCGCCCCCGGTCCACTCCAATCGAACGCCCTCTCCTCCCTGTTGTCGCAGGCGCACCCCCTTGCTGCGGCCGCACGGGCTCCGGGTCTCCCACGACTTCGCTCCCCAAAGGTGAGGAGTCTCCTTGTGTCAGGGATTTTACTGCCCCAACGATTTATGTGTAGATCAATCGGGGATTTGGGTCATGGGTGGTGGTGGTGGTGGTTTGTCTTGTGCGATGTGCGATGCTCTGCGAAGTTGCTGGTTCTTGGGATTTTTAGTGATTACCAGCATCTGGAGCGTGTATCTGATTGAAATAATTCAGAAATTTAATTGAAAATGCTGAAGAGTTTCAGTTCAACATTAGATGTTTTTAGCACCTGATCGAGTCTAGAGCAACTCCCAGATCCATGGAAACACTCTAAAATATTTCTGCAGTTATTGATTTAGTGAGCCGTGATTACTCGCCTGAGATGAAATTCATGCCTGAAAAGACCCGGTAGAAGATTATGTGTAGAATTGGTTGACACCTTGGTCGAATAGTTAATTAACACATTACCACTGAAGATGCGTTTGAAGTTGTTTCCTCTTGTGCATATACATGTTAAATTTGACAATTTTTAGTAAGCAACGAGGAAGAACTGCCATTACTGAATCCTTTCTCACAAAAGACCATTACTGAATCACAATTGGTTATGACATACTAGTAATTACCATTTTCAGTTGAGAATTCACCACTGCCCATACACATACGGGAATTAATCCAATATCAGCTATAAACCATCTAAGCTTTCATTGATAACAGTCCCTTTTCACCTTATCCTGTGAAATTCTATTCCACATGCAAGCAATCTGTAATTACCTGAAATTTGTCTGAACTCGCTCTAACTTGCCCTTAATCTAGTCGTAGTCTTTTTGAAACTTCACTGCTATATTTTAAGTTCATCTCTGAGTGCAGACTTATGGTCCTTCACTAATATTGCTGTTTATAAATTCCCGGATACACTAGATTTGCGCGCCACATTGCTTCATCAACAAATGAAGAGGTTGCTGCCAAAACAGCGGCAGCGACTGCTGATACTGGAGGACCGACGATGTAAATCTCTGATCAGCTTACTCATTTTACTCCTTTATAATCTTTTTCTGTGGCTCTGAATATCCCCCTTTGCTGGTTTCTGTTAGTTTTGACAAGATCATTGCAAAGGAAATCCCTTCAAGCATTGTCTACGAGGATGAAAAAGTGCTGGCGTTTAGAGATATTAACCCACAAGCTCCTGTCCATGTTCTAGTCATCCCAAAACTAAGAGATGGGCTAACTGGACTTGACAAGGTAGGTTCTGCTGCTTACTTATCAGCTATGTGCAGACAAGGAGATTAACATGTAAAGTGCTATGTTATGGCAAGATTTATCTTAGTACTCCCTCTGTAAACTAATATAAGAGCGTTTAGATCACTACTTTAGTGGTCTAAATGCTCTTATATTAGTTTACGGAGGGAGTACATATTAATGCCCTTCCAGCTGACTCTTTGACCAAGCTTAGTAATTTTAACCTGAGTAATCCTCCATATCAAGTATGCCACCTTATTTATACAAGGACATACATGTAGGCTGAACCAAGGCATGCTAAAATTCTGGGGCAGCTGCTTTACGCTGCGAAGGTTGTGGCTGAGAAGGAAGGCGTAGCAGATGGATTCCGTGTCGTCATAAACAACGGAGCAGAAGGATGTAAGCAAGCTCATGCTGCAGATCTTGCCCCCAATAATCCTTTCTGCTCCTCTCATCACAGTATTTTCAACATCTATGCTAATGCTGCCCATTGTTTTGTCACAGGTCAGTCAGTCTATCATCTGCACGTGCATGTACTTGGTGGAAGGCAGATGAAATGGCCTCCTGGTTAAGTTTAGTAACAGTGCACGCCTTTTCTTCTTCTGTATGATCTATCATACACTACTCTTGAATTACTTGTCTGACTGTTTCTCAAAAGTGGATGTACTTTCCACCTGCTTCTTACTAAATGGTTTTACGTTATTACCATCTCTGGACTTGAGTCTGCCAGACGATTACTAACAGAGATGCATATCGTCGGGCGCTTTGGTTTTGTAGAGGGTAAAGTAAAACGATGCGATTATGCGCTTGCTAAGGATTCGAAAAACGGCAGAAAATTTCCAGTTATGGAAAGACGGTGCACAGAGTCGGACATGGAGCATGTGATCCCGAGCACCAGTGATCCCGGATGAACAGTAAAATCCGAAAAAATAGTAAAAAAAATTCAAAAAAATCTGAATTTTTTTGTCAACAAACTTTGATGTTTTTTCTACATACGTGCCAATTTTCATGACGAAATGATATTTTTGGAGGTCTTGGCAAAAAAATTAAAAAAATCATGCCCAACATAACTGTTTTTGGAAGCATTTTGGAGCATCGATTTTGTTTTTTTGCCGAGACCTGCATGAATGTCATTTTGTCATGAAATTTTGCACGCATGTAGAAAAAGCATCAAATTTTGTTGGCAAAAAAATTCAGATTTTCTTGAACTTTTTAAATATTTTTGTGTGTACTGTAGCAAAGGGTGCCTGTGAGCTCGAGCTCACAATAGCACTTTCGCACAGAGTCTTCTTTTTCTGTTGAATCTGAGCTTGTGCATTACTGTTCGTTCGTTCTGATGTGCTCTCACAAGCCATTATAGTCTACAGTATCATTTTTGCTGCCTCTGTTTGTTGGACTATACTCCTGGTTTTGCCTCGTCAGTGCAAGTAACCGCAGGGAGTATAGCTGATCTTAGCCCTCTCCCAATGCTTCAACTTGTACACGTTCTAAGGTTTCCAACGAAGCAAAAAGAAAATCTGATGCGGCATGCTAGTTAAGAAGAGAGAGTAGTACGGTGATCCCAGGAAGAAACGGTGATAATCATGTGTACCTAGGTGGAAGCATAATTTTGAGTCTACAACTAATTAAATGCATGAAGTTTAGGCTAGTCATAGTGAACATTATCATATTCTAGTATCATGCATATGATACTAGTGTATGATAATACATCCATAGTGCATAGTACTACCTCCATTCCCTTATACAAGGCCACTATCAAAAATACATTTTGCATCAATACAAGGCCACCAACAGTAATCGAGGCAAAAGTTAATGATGTTTCATCATAAACTTTTTAATACTTACATGCATGTAGTCATAATGACACTCAACCACTTCTTTCTCATTCATTCGTTGCATGCTTGTGGTGTATTAATGATCTCAGTTAACGAAAAGAAAAGTTGACTTGCAAAGGAGTTATTAAATTTTATCTTCGTACCTGTAATATGAGTTTGTGGCCTTGTATAAGAGAATGGAGGGAGTATCATAGATGATCTCATTTATTACCATGCATGACACATAGTATCATAACATTTATTATGTTACGGTATCTACCTATGTTATTATAACTATCTTTCTTTTTTAATTGTCTGCGACATAAGCATGTTTGCGAGTCCCAAGTGCATGGTACTACTTATGTTACCCCCAGTTTGGCCACCCGTAGCATCGTTGAATTGGGGACTTGAGATGCTAGGACATTTAATATACTTAGAGCATCTCCAACAGCCACGCTAAGAGCGGCGCGCTAAAAGGCTGTTTACAGCGCCCGAATCACTGGTTTTTGCGCGCCGCGGAGCGCTGACTCCAGCGGCCGCCGCAAAATATAGCGTGTGCTAGCCGCTCCAGTAGACGCGCTATAAACTACAGCGCGCGTGAGCAGCCGATGCTTGTATATGTTCCTTTTGAAGACAATATGATGAAATTTACACATCAAAACAAGTTCATGGCATAAAAGTTTAAACTCATGGCCACATCATCATCTAAGCAAGTTCAAAATCATGGAACCAAATTCGTGACATAAGAGTTCACACAAACAAATGGCTTGGAGTACGCCACCGAGTTTGGTGTAGGGCTTCTCTTGCCGTCATCACTTGATGCCTTCTCCTCATCATCATCCAAATCAATAGTTCGCTTGCGTTTGTTGCTCTCATCATCGATACCTTCACGGGGCTTCCATTTCTCATCATCCTTCAACACATCATAACAATGAGAAAGGTAAATGGTCTTCCTTTCTTGATCTTCCCTTTCTTGCTCTTCTCCTCTCCTTGAAATAAGTTTTGTGCAATAGTGAGCTACAAGCAAAAGAACAAGTTAGCACTTGAAACACCAAGAAGAATCATGAACATGGAAGAATCATGAAAGAATTGGCACTTACCCTATCTCTATCATTAGTGCCACTTGAATTTAAATTGTTAACCGCCTTAAGTGCGGCCGCCCAACTTTGATAATCTTTGTTGATTGTCGACCACCGAGAGCGAAGAGATCTTTCTGTGCGGTCAATTCCACTTTTGTTGTGTAAGTCAAAGTGCTCCTTCATCCGGATTCAATATGCATCTCTACTTTGGTCCCCTCCAACGGTGGCATCCATAGACACTTTCAACAATGTATTGCATAGCAAGATATCTTCGTCCATGGTGTAGTTGCCCGCTCTTCCTTTCGGTGCATCGACGATACCCTCACCATCCACGTCCACCTAAAACTCATGGTGATCTTCATGCACTTCATTGGTTTGAGACCAATGAGAATTGTTGGAACCAGCACCCATAGTTGACATATATGTGTCATCATTGCAACTACAAAGTATATACAACGAAACAAATAAGCTATCCATATGTATCCTATCAAAAAGCAAAAACGAAAAACGTGGGCGAAATTTTACCTTGTGGGCATTTCTTCAAACACCTTGTGCGCATCGGCCGCCGGCGCAACAAGCGAGCTCGCTGACGCCTCGGTGGCCACCGCATCCGTCGCACGCCCTGCAAGTCTCTTCTTTGGATGCCTAGAGAAACCGTTTGCCGCCTTCGTCTTCTTCCCGGACACCTTGACCATCTTCGCCACCGCCGCATCTGGGAGCTTCGAAATGGGAGCACAGGTTTGACGGCGGCCGCCGGCGCGAAGCCCTCCCCTCCCCCCGCGCGTCGAGGTCGGCCGTGGCGCCATGAAAAGGCCGCGCGTAAGACCCGTGCTTGGAGGAGCACCGACGGAGGCGAAGCCAATGCTCCCCGCGCTAGGGTTTGCGGCGGTGGTGGCGGAGGGGTCGCAGGTGTAAGGTGGGGTGAGGGGCATGTCAGCGCGGCCGTCCATCGGGCGAAATCGCCGGCGGCAGCACGCGCGCGACGAAAGCGGCGGCGCGCACGGGGCGAAAGCGGCACGGCGAAGAGGGTGCGGGCACGAGCGCTCGAGTGTGCAGCGCGCGGGAGCAAACGCAGCAAATAAACGGCGCGCGATGCGGTTTTGCCCCGCGCGCTGAACCAGGTATTCCACGCGCGGGGTTTTTACGCGACTGCTGGAGCGTCCGGAGCTGCCCCGCACGCGCAAAAAATGCAGATTTTCCAGCGCGGTGCTTATATAGCGCCGGTGTCGGAAGAAGTAGAACCAGAAAGAAAGATCTACTTGTTCTTTTCCCCAGCAAACCCTTCGGGTTCATATCCTGCATTGATTGATCACTTGCGTTTTCAACTTCCAACGCCCATGCATGCCGGCGCCTCCACCCGAGGAGTCACCACACCACCTCGCTGCTTTTAATTGCAAGTTTGCAACCAACCCCTGCTGTATAAATCGCCCTGCCCCACCATCAAATCCATCATCTTCTCACCCCCAACCTCCGCTTCCGCTGCGTCTTCACCATCCACTTCCCCAACAGTCTTGGCCATGGCAAAGGACCTCACGTCGGGTAGCGTGCGCTTGCTGCGGGAGTTCAGGATCAATGATTTCAGCCTGGTGTCCTCGACCATAGGCGACACGGAGTGCATCAAATCCAGGTGGGACTTCGATGGATACGAGTGGGAGATCCATTGCTATCCACGTTGGTACGGCAATAGTTTTGTTGAGTTCAGGCTTATGTTCCTCAGTGAAGCCCCCACACGCGCTGTGAAGGCCGACCTAAGCTGTCTCCTGTTGCACCCGGAGACGGCGTACCAAATGTGTGTATCACGCGATGCTGAAATGAGGGTGTCACATGTTTTCAAGTGCCACAAAGACTGCTCCGGCGGAGTCCTGCTCGTCAAAAGGTCACTTCTACGGCCGCCGACTTGTCCCATGGACGATTACTTGGCTGTGCAGTGCAGCATCACAGTTATGAAGGAACAGATGGATGTGGAAACCATGGTGCCCGTGCCGGCCTCCAACCTGCACAAGCACCTTGGTGATCTCCTCAAGAGCAAGAAGGGAGCGGATGTCACATTCCTTGTCTCCGGCGAGTCCTTCCTTGCTCACAAGAACATACTTGCTGCAAGGTCCCCTGTTCTCATGGCCGAGTTCTTCGGCCACATGAGGGAGACGAGCGCTCAACGCATTGTGATTGAGAACATGGAGGCTTCAGCCTTCAAAGCCATGCTGCACTTCATATACACGGACACGATGCCTGAACTTGCTCAGGAACTGGAGGCTGAGGCCACGGCAACGATGGCTCAGCATCTTCTTGTGGCTGCTGACAGGTATGGGCTGGATAGGCTCAAAGTGATTTGCGAGGGCAAGCTCTCCGGTGGCATCACGGTCGACACAGCGGCGCCGACTTTGGCTTTGGCTGAGCAGCACAACTGCACACACCTCAAGGCCAAGTGTGTCGAGTTCATCATCAGCACTCCTGCGATCCTCAATGCCGTGGTGGCGACAGAGGGGTATAAGCATCTGGAGGCAAGCTGCCCTTCGGTGCTTACTAGTATTGTCCTCTCTCTGCGTGGGAGAAGCCACTGAAAACGGAGCTGTAGGTGCGTAAGTTCCAATATTCAGTCGACGCATTTTGTCACTTACTTTTGATGCATGATTCACTAGAACTTAATTATGTGTTCCTTTCACCTAATGAAGCCATTTA